AATTTTAGTAAAGACTTTGCGAGACGAAGATTATTATTTCGTCGCGCAAAGGCATCCAAAAATTTTTAAAAATAATTTTTTGTTTATTTATTTTTGTAAATACTTTGCGAGACGAATCATTATTCGTTGCGCAAAACTGTGTGCACCGAATTCTAGTATTCGTCACGCAAAGTTACTTTTCGCGACGATGCTTTGTCGTCGCGCAAAGTGACTTTTTGCGACGATTTTTTTTTCGTTGCGCAAAATTGAGTCGCGTAAGACTTTGAGCGACGATGGTTTATATTTGTCGCGCAAAGTCACTTTGCGCGACGAATTTTGTTTCGTCGCGCAAAGTTTGGTCGCGCAAGGGTTTTTTTTAGTAGTGTAATAAGAGTTTTATTCTCTACGAAACACTCCGAGGCTCCTATAAATAGATGGTTTCATTCATCATTTCAGGTACATCAAAACCTACTTAGAAAACTCGAAAAAACTCTCCATCTTTCTCTCCCTAGCCACGGGCGACGCCACCACCGTTGCCGGCCACGCATCTCTTCTCTCTCCATATATTACATACACGGCTCCGGCCACCTGGTTCTCACCCTAGAAAAGTCTCCATACCTTTTTTAGCTATTGTTTCACCTAGATTCAATCGAACTAACTTAGGCATCGGAGGGCCTTTGGCCAACATCCTCCAGGTGTGGTGTATTTACTCCGGTCTTTTTTACAGAAATCGAGAAAGAGAGAGAAGGAAGATCAAGGGTTGAAAAACACAAAGCGAATATTCTCCCGTGAGGATTTTTGCACAAACAATATATACGTCAAACATTTTTTTTGGGTAAAATATATGTAAATTATTTTACAAAGAAAGAAAGAAAACATGTCCTTTGTAAAAAGAAGAAAAACTATATAAAAACACCAGCTATCACAAAACGGACAACCAGAGCAAAAGGAGCTCCCGTCCATTGTCTTCTCCACCAAAATTTTGATTCAACCTGAAACAACATAACCTGGCATATGTTAATTATGTAGTCAATTAATGTGTTAATTATGTAGTCAATTAATGTGTTGATTATGTAGTCAATTAATGTTTGGCACCTACTATGTTTGGCACCTACAATATTTGGGGGGCTTGACTAGGTTGGTTGCCTAACTAGGTTGGTTGCCTAACTTGGGGGGCTTAGGAACTTGTGAGACTCCCTTTATTTCCATCCTTCCTTCCTAAAAAATTATTGAATTTGTTAAATTGTTTCAAAACTGCTACGATCTATTCAACTTGTTCTACATGACAAGTTTTAATTTCTCCCCATCTCGTCTCGTCCCATTACAAAAAGAGTTTTTCTATTTAAACCCCACATGTTTCTTTGTTCACTTCAATACTTCAATCATTAAGCTCTTAAGTTTTATTATTGTGTAGAAAGACAAAAAAGGTCAAGCAACTTAATACTTAGCCCTAGCTAGTACATCTATACACACACACCCCACACCACTCTTCATATTAAGTTTTAGAAAAACACAAACTCCTCTACACCCTATTGCCATATTACTCTTTTCTTTCAATCCAAGAAACCTATTACCGTCTCATTTTCTCTTCACAAACTCTAAATATGGTATACAAATAGAGGCTTATTGTGGGTCGTCAATTGAGGTGTGTTAATTGATCACATTAAAACTGCAAGGACTTTAGTGATAAAAGTGATAAACTCATGGACCACAAATGACTTTTTTCAACAAACAAAAAAATACAAAAATAGTAAATGAAGATTTTAAAGTTTGCCATATTCGCTAATTATGTTTTCTTTTTTAGACTTGTCTTTTAATTCATTACTTTCAAGTGAAATCTATTTATTTTAGGGTAAGTGCTTTTCTCCTTACATTGAAGTAATCATTCTTCTTAAATTTATAGAAAAATCACAGTTTGATATGTGCGCAAAAAACCCAACAATATTTAGGTCATTAAACATTTAAATATGTTATATCCAGTCATATAATCTAGTTCACCAAAGGGGAAAAATGAAGACAAAATGAAAGTCTAAACTATATTTGTAAATATTTTCTTTTCGGTTACAATATTTGTAGGATACTTTGATTTGAAATGTGGAGGAAGTAGCCTATTGTTGAAAGTCTAAGTCAATGCTTTATTTTTATTCATGAATAATAGAATTCAAACTTCAAAACTTGTCATGTCGTTGTAGAAGCTATGCTGTAAATTTAGTGGGAACTTCGAAACAATTTTAAGAAATATATATTCAATCATTTGTTTGGAAAGCAATAAGGGGAGGCTTCACCATCAAAGTCAGAGCAACTTCGGTGCAGATTCCGTTTGAATGATCATCACCATGATGGTGAGTCCCATGATTATAATATGCAAGTAAGCTGGAAGTCTTTGTTTTTAAATACGAGGAAGTCGACAGGTTGTACTCAGACGATTTATTTACATCGACATATTTGAAACTTTAGTTGACTGCTTCTATTGTTGTCGTTTCGACGGGTTGTAATGCATTTCACGGGTCAATGTATGCACCAACCCCCAAGAGGTTAGCCAACGTCCCAAGCTATCCATTACTGATTATTTACTTGAGAAGGAAGATGATATGTCCCTTTCTTACTTATTTATTTTTATAATTTCCTAATAGTATAGGGGCTAATTAATTAATTAATTATAATTTCCTAATAGTATAGGGGCTAATAATAATAAGCCCCTATAATTTCCTAATTGTCTACAACTTGACCATTAAACTTCTTAATCACCTTTTTACTTTCAATTAAATCTACTAGGTTAGGTTATGATATTTACACTAAAGACTCCTCTTTTTTTTTTTCTTCTCTTCCTCTTCCTCTTTTGTTTAACTTAAGCTTAAGCTTTGTGATTTTTTCCCCTCCCTTTTTACATGTTTGAGTAGGCTACTTTAATATTGGGATTTATGAATTTTGTTTGCATTTCTTCTCTCTCTTGGAATATAAATGATTAACTTTTGAGTCTTTAATAGTGTAAATGATGAGATTAATATTCAACTATTTTATAATATAAAATTAAAGACAATTATGATTGTAATGAATGGATAAATTATTAATCAATATGAAATGATATTATGAAGTGGGCTAAACCGAGTAGTTATTATCCTATGAACTTATTAACCGGTTAGCGCTTGAGTGCTCCTATTCGAATTATTTTATAACATTTTGTGAAGGGCCCCCTCTAATGCAAAATCCTGGCTCCGCCACTTTTGTGATGTATAGGAGCATCTCACAGGTCAATTCTCCCAAGTGGTAACTCTATGTATCTTTTTATATCCTCTCTCAGTTACCGGATATATACTTGAACTTTTTTCCATCAATTTGGTAATATTATAGCTCGGTTCATGGATTTTCTTATCATGCTTTACAAGAGAAGCGTGGTTGCGTATGGATGAATGGAATTTAATCCAAGTGTGGTAACCCACAAAATGATATAGAAGATATTAGAATGATCGATCGGAAAACCTACGAAGCATGTCACTTGCGTTGATAATCTGAGCCAAGATGGTGAGTGAGAGTTTTGGATTTGTCTTAAAACACCATAACCTGGTACAAGTAAAACAATCAAAAGATATAGCTAAAGTGCATAGACTAATTTTTTGCATGGGTCTTTATTTTATTGGTTTTGCCCCGCTCAGTAGCATAAAAGGAATCGGTAGTATAAAAAGAAATGGTAATCTTTGACGTCCAAAACAATGAACAATTCACACTACTACAAAAATTGAAATAGACGACGGGGAAAAACCGTCGTCTTTTTCTTTTGAAAACCGTCGTTAAATCGACTGCCGTCTTTTCAATTTCCAAACTACGACGGTTATTCACCATTGTCTATTATTTGTATAAAAGCCATAAACCTTGCCTTGCCCATAAGTTAACAACAAGAACATTTCACAGTGAAACATACCTTCACCACAAGGGGACTTCCTAGTGGTAATGTGCAGAACCTTGGTTGGCATTCTCACGGGTCCCTTAACCTGGAGCCTCTTGTTCTTTGCACCACGAACCAGATCAGTGCAAACTATCAATATAACATATGTCAATCCAGCAGGCTAAAGAAATATAATAAGAAAAATATGAATTCTTAATAATCTAAACAAACTTAAAAACTTTATGTAGAGACAATGGTGGATAAACCCATTTCAACAACGTCACACAGCAATTAAGTACAAATGAAACTGAACAGTATTGAAGCTCATAAAAACTTTTTATTTACAGGATTGTGGAATTTAGAGAAAACCAATGCAGGGGCAGAGGAGCAGCAGAGAGAAGAGGGAGGGTGCCATGGTTAAAGTCTTTCAGCTTTGAAGAGATAAGGCCTTTTCTGGATACCAAATTCATAAATAGGGGACTAAGATCATGGGACATATATAAGTCAAGCAAAATTTTGAAGAGTATAACGATAACCATAGAAGGGCATAACGATAGAAGTTATATTTTTGTAGATTCTCACCTTTCTGATTCACACATATATAAATCCCTAAAACAGAAAAGAAAAAAAAAATTCAGAAAAGTTGCCTTAATTTCTATATAAATCGAAAATATTTACAAAAATATAACAATTTGCCCAGATAATTTACAATTACACACCCAAATATTTTAACCCTAAATCATATCAGGGATATAGAAATTGATTCTTCAAAAATTATAGAAAATAATTACCTGTGGAATGGAGGAAGGGAGGCTCTCATGGAGCCAGCCAGCAAGAGAGATCGAGCGTGCTAGAGAGAGACAACAAGAAAGAGAGCTCCGGCAAGAGAGAGCCATCGAGAGATAGACGATGACCATCGCCTCTTCGCCTCTATCTCTCTGATTTCTTTTTTGTCGAAGAGATTGTATGTCTTCTTGGTGGTGGTGTCGACCTCACGGCGTCAGTTTGCGAGTGTCGACAAAGTCTGGGATGAAGATGGCGTCGATGGCGGTGGTGATGACTGATGCGAAGAAGACGATGGCGTCGACGGCATCTCTGCGTCGACGGCGTCGCTTGCAAATCTCTGAAATCGCCCAAACAAAAGTCAGATAAAGACCAAAACAAAACCTCAAATTTACCGAAGAACGGGGTCAAAGAAGAGAAGGCGAAGCCTGGAACAGAAGAGACGAGTGGGATCGAGAGAGGCCTCATGAAGGAGATCGCGAAGATTGTGGAGGGTCCTCGTCAAGGGATATGACGACCTTAGTGAACTGGATGCCAAGATCTGTGACTTGGATGGCGAGCTTAGTGACCAAGACGGCGCGATGGAGATGGTGTTTCAGCGATGAGAAAGAGAATTGAGAGAGAGAGGGTTTCTAAAGGTCGCAAGAGAGTGTGGTTTGAGAGAGAGCTGCGAAAACTTAAGTGAATTTTGGGTCTAGCGTGTTTTAAAACACGACTGTTTTCATAAGGAACCGTCGGAATTTTTGAGAGCGCCTTTTAAAACACGACGGTTTTAGATTGAACCGTCGTGGTTTTTAAAAACACGACGCTTTTTAGTTTTACCGTCGTTAAATAGGCGTCGTAGTTTTCCATTTTTGTAGTAGTGTCATATCATTATATTACGTTGTGGAGTTTACCCAAATGAGCGGTTAGGGTCGTATTAACTCACTAACGAGTTAGTGCTTAAGCGCTTTTGTGTATACATCACATATATCAAATTGATTTTATAAATATATCTTATTTCAACATTACTATACTATAGATTATCATTTTTAACTTCATCTTGATTCTCAAATCCCTCAATCTTCTTCGGTTTGTCACGGTTAAATAAGATCTCTTTCTTCTGGCCAGTGTGCTTATCCTCAGCAGAGACACTCAAGATGCCATCAGCATCAATAGCAAAGCAAACCTCAAATTCAGGAAGATTCTTAGCCGCTGCAGGAATTTCTTGGAGGCTATATTCACCCAAAAAGTTCATACTCTCAGGTACGCTACTCTCACCTTCATATATGCAGAAATTGATTGAAGGTTGATTGTCCTGAACAGGAGTAAAACGTGCTTTCTCCATCATAGGAATTCTAATGTTTCTTGGAATTAAATTCTCGAGTCTCTTGACTGTAACATAATCGGTAAACTCCAGAACAAGTGGCAGAGGAGTGACATCCGAGAGGGTGAAGTCTTGAATAAACTTCCTATTTACAGTCCCACTTAAGACTGCAGCTTGAACGGCGGCACCACATGCCACCGCCTCATCCGGATTAATGCCCTTGCAAAGCTCCTTCCCCTTGAAAACCTCCTTTAATAGCTCTTGAACCTTTGGAATTCTAGAGGAGCCACCGGCGAGAATGACATCATGGACACTGCTTGTGTCTATGTTCGCATCCGTCAAACACTTCCTCACAGGCTCCATACACTTGATGAACAAATCCTCATTCAGTTGTTCAAATTTGTGACGGGTAAAAGTTATAGTGAAATCAGTACCCTCACACAAACAATCAATTTCAATGTCAAAGTCAGACTCAAATGAGAGTCTCTCTTTGGCCTTCTTACATTGGTTTTTTAACCTCCTAAGAGCCCTGAAGTCTTCACTAACATCGAATTTCTTCTCCCTCTTGAATTCCTCGACACAATACTTCACCATTCTGTTATCGAAGTCTTCCCCGCCGAGGTGAGTGTCTCCAGCCGTCACCTTGACTTGAAAGTCACCAGAACTAGTCATGGTAAGCAATGACACATCCAGAGTGCCACCACCCAAATCAAATATCATTACGTTTCTCGTGCTACTCCAACCGGACTTCTTGCTAAGGCCATAAGTAATGGCAGCAGCACTTGGGTCGTTCATAATACGCATCACATTTAGGCCAGCAGAGAGGCCAGCTTCTTTTGTAGCCTGACGTTGCGAGTCATTGAAGTAAGCAGGGACAGTGATAACTGCATGTTTCACAGTTGAGCCCAGGTAGGTCTCGGCAATCTTCCGCATCTTTTCCAGAACCATGGCTGTGATTTCTTCAGCAGAAAATTGTTTATCTTGGTCATTGTGGGTAACCACAATCACGGGCCTGTCAGCTGGACCTTCAACGACCTTGAATGGCCAGTCCTTCACATCACTTTGAATAGAAGCATCATTGAATCTCCTACCGATTAGCCGCTTTGTATCTACAAATTGATGCCGAATTTATTTAGACCTTTATTCTATATCAAAATAGGAATAGAATATTTCATGGTTGAGTTAAGTAGGTATCTAATATAATAGCTTCTTTACATACTTTTTTCACCTTGGAAGGATCTTAACTGAAAGTCAGGGGAGGCCTCCAATTTATGTCAATCTCTATATATACACCAAGTATATATATAACTATAACTTATGATGATTAGTTCTTCTAAAGTGATATATAAGTGCAGAAATATGAGTGAATAGAATTGAAAAGGAGACAGTAAATAATTATAACAAAAATTGATCATTTAATCCTACATACCAAAGATGGAGTTGGCTGTGTTTCTGACGACTTGGTTAAATGCTGCATCACCTACCAAATTAGTCTCAACAGCTTCAGTGAAGGCAACATAAGATGCAGTCTTCCTGTTCCCGTGATCGTTCAGTATAACCTCTACATGATCCTTCTGCCACACAGCTACGCGGGAATACGTTGTCCCCAGATCGATCCCGATAGCGTGGTCTCGCTGTTCATCCAGATGAATTTCCTCTTTCAATAATAAGTCATCCAATTCAGCCCAACTACTTACTGGAGAGACTTTCATCCTTGCACGAATGGGATTGTACTCCTCTGGTAATCCTGCCAGGATGTGTACATTAAGTAGGTCGAGATCATCCACAGGAGCACCGGCAGCCGCAAGATCGCCCGCCAACTGTTTGATAGTTTGTAGATACGCAGTCATCCGCATGTCGGGATCTTTCTTCACGTTGTGTAGATCAGATTTAAGCTGATAGATGCGAGCATGAGCGAGACGGGCGAAGTGTTCCTCGAGATTGAGCCAGACCTGTCGTGAAGAGTCAACTCCGGCGGGCATTACAATTTGTTGGAGACTTACAGATAGAGTGGCTTTTAGCCATTTCAGAGCCTGTTGCTCTCTGCCATACCAATTAGTAAGGGCAGACTGAACTCGCCCAGGACGAGGCTCTGTTCCATTAATGATTCCAGAAATATGATGGTGGTGAAAATATGAAAGGGAGAAAGTTCTCCACTGTCGATAGCTATATATATCACTCGTGAGTTTGATTGGAACCAGTAATGGTGACATGTTCTCTACGGCCATGGAAGCACCAGGAGATTAGCTACAAGTAGAAGTTGGAGAGCTGAAGTTGATGAGTTGATTATCTTAATGTGAAATATGTACATATATTTCAAGTACTTTTCAAGTCAACAAATGAAAAGTCTAAGTCAATACACAATATATTTGTAAGATATATATATTTGAATTTAATTTTTCTCATAAACCATTATCGTAATAGCCTCGTCACGGAGAAATTCTTGTGTCCGCTTGCCGTGTATGGAGATACGATGAGAGGTTGAATGAAAACAAAATGAATTTCAGGAGGCAATTACATCTACTCTTATGATGTGAGGATTGCAAGCGGGACAATGCTTTCAAACACCTACCTCACCTCAAATAATGTTTTCATTATTTTTTGTTTTTGGTTACCTACCTGACCTCATTGTAGGATTGCTAATTCATTTTGAATAATGAACATGATTGTCATCAAATATATTATATAAACAGAAAGAGCTGGAAGTCTTGGACACTAGCTATAAGCAAAAGTCATCTCATGTGGGAAACCCCTCCATTAGTCATGACCGCGTGCAGACGCATATCCAATCAAAATATACAAAGGAAAGCGTTAATGATTCTTAATTATATATATAAAAGCTTATCATACACAAGTTGCATTTTAAGTTCGATTTTAAATTTGCTTAACAAAAACAATATAGCAAGACGTTAAAGTTGCAAAATGTACAGCCTTGTATTAAAATAAAATAAAATTGAGTCGCTCTAATTCCATCCCTTTCGTATTTTGTCACACTTAATGTAAAATAATTTGAATAATTAAGAAAGGAAAGGAAAAAAATGACACACTACCCAAAAACAAAAAATGCAATTTGAGTTTTATACCTTGTAGAGGTGATGGTTCTTTATTAACAAGATGATTCTTCCGCAACTTCGATTGAAGGAAGTTGAGGTTCCACCCCAAAAATAAATTGGGAATGGTGGAGGAGTAGTCCAACTCCTGATAAGCTTATGCTAGATATCTTAACTTTCTAATGTAGGATACTAGACACGATTTATTTATGTCTTAGCCCTAAACCCTATACTAGCAATATAAAAAATTCAATACTTTAGGTATAGCCAAAAGGTAATAAGGGGTATTAGTTCCGGGCAAAATATTGGTAATTCCATTTGGTCTTAGAATACAAATTTCTTTTTAATTTAACTATTAAGATTTTTAGTAGTATTCTAGAGAAAGACTAACACCATTTGCATTATGTATTTTCTTTGATTTTTCAACTATTTGTAAAACTTAAATATAAAAGATGGTTTGTAATTCAAGTGGCTAAAAGTATCAACCTTTGAATTGAGGTTTTATTTTCCTCCATCTTGCAATATGTCTTGAATAAAAAAATAAAACTATAAACTTAATTCAAGTGGCTAAAAGACGTATGACATGTGAAATTATTCTCCAACTTACTGCATTGCTTTTTATGAGATGTGGTTGGCTGCTTTGAAAATATTCCACATGTCATACGTCTATTGGAACGTACACTAGCCACATGGTGTATCCGGAACACTCAAAAATTACTCCTATATCGTTGGGTGAACATATAAACAAGAGTGACATTGTTTGGCTCCTTCCTCCCTTCTTTCACAACCACCGTCCCCCCAACCCCAACCCAAAGAAAAAAAAAATCAGCCAATTAGGAAATGCACAAGCATCCAGCCAGCACCCCACTTCCTTATTCAACCAAAATTTTTATTATCATCACAAAACAACATGACCTGGCCATAGTAAAACAATTCAAAGATATAGTACTTAAACATAGGAAATAAAGCAAAGTAATTATCTTATAATACATGCTATCTTCGGCAGAGAACACTGAGTTACCCTACCTTATCTTAATCCTCAATTCCCTCAACACTTCTTTCGGTTGTCACGGGTGATTGTGATCCCTTCCTTCTGGCCGGTGGACCTATCCTCAGCAGAGACACTCAAAACTCCATTTGCATCAATATTAAAGTAAACAGCGAAACTCGGAACACCCTTGGGAGCCGGAGGAATGCCTTCGAGGGAAAATTTACCCAAAAAGTGATTGTTTTTGGCTATTTTACTTTCACCCTCATAAATGGGGAACTCAACAGCATCTTGGTTGTCATAAACAGTAGTTACGTTTGTTTTCAACCTGACGGGAATTCTTGAGTTTCTTGGAATCACAACATTCATGTAAAATTTGGAACTATTATGTTCCATGGTCTCCAACCCAAGTGATAGAGGCGTGACATCCAAGAGAGTGAAGTCTTCAAGCTTCCCTGTTACATTGCCAGTCAAGACTGCAGCTTGAACAGCGGCTCCATACGCCACGGCCTCATCCGGATTAATGTTCCTGCACAACTCCTTACCCTTGAAAACCTCCTGTAATAGCTCTTGCACCTTTGGAATTCTTGAAGAGCCACCAACAAGAACAACGTCATCCACATCGCTTATGTCCATTTTGGCATCCTCCAAACACTTTTTCACAGGCTCCATGCACTTGTGGAAGATATCCATGTTCATTTGTTCAAATTCGTCCCGGGTAAAGGTTGCATAGAAATCTTCACCCTGGTACCAACAGTCAATTACAATGCTGCTTTCAAACGAATGTGAAAGAGCCTTCTTTGCATTCTCACACTCAGTTTTGGCCCTCCGAAGAGCTTTGGAGTTTCCACCAATGTCCACTTGATACTTTTTCTTGAATTCTTGGACACAGTAATTCACCAATCTGTTATCCAAGTCTTCACCGCCAAGGTGAGTGTCTCCAGCAGTGGCCTTCACTTCAAACACACCATGACCTATGGTAAGCAGTGACACATCTAAAGTTCCACCACCCCAATCGAATATCATCACATTTCGCTTATGCCGACCAGCCTTCTTGTCAATGCCATAAGCAATAGCTGCAGCTGTCGGTTCGTTGAGAATACGCAGCACATTCAAGCCGGCTAATTCACCAGCCTTTATTGTAGCCTGGCGCTGAGCGTCGTTGAAGTAAGAGGGGACCGTGATAACTGCATTTATCACTCTAGTATTTGAGCACAGGAAGTTCTCAGCAATCTCCCGCATCTTTGCCAGAACCAAGGATGAGATATCTTCAGCAGCAAACCGTTTCTCTTCGCCCCTGTGTCGAATCACAATCATGGGCTTGTCCTCCGGACCTTCAATGACCTTGAATGGCCAGAGCTTCACGTCACTTTGAACAGAGGCGTCACTGAATCTCCTACCAATTAACCGCTTTGCATCTGTAAATTATTCCCAGTTTAGATATACATACTATATGTCTTAATTTTTAAATTTATACCAAATTACTCTAAGAAAGATTTGAACTAAATATATAGTTGTGTTGAGAGACCAAAAAAAATGAATTCAAAGATTGAGTGATCATTTTATTCGTACCAAAGATTGAGTTGGCGGGGAATCTGACGGCTTGGTTAAAGGCTTCATCACCTACCAACCTGTTAGCATCCGTGAATGTAACATAAGATCGAGTTGTCCTGTTACCCTGACCGTTCACCAGGATTTCTACATGATCAGCCTGCCATACCGCTACACACGAATGAGTTGTCCCCAGATCGATCCCAATTGCATTTCTATCTTCTGCCATTGTTAAGTTTCTTGGCTCAAGAGCTTGAAGAAGAAAGCTGAAAGATCAACTAGGAAATTAAATAAGTGCAGAAAACAGATGTGCAAGAAAAATAATATATGGAAGAAAAATGAAAGTCTAAGGCAATACTTACGCACTACAATCACTCTAGCGCGTTGAAAAGTATGCTTGATTTTGGACCAATGAGATAAAATACTGTTTTGGGTTTTGGGGGGGTAATATGCAAACTCCTAGCGACAGAGTCAACGATGAAGAAAAGTTATGGAAACTCATCTGTATTTTTTTAGGTCAGGCATCTTTATTTTATCAGGCCCCATTTTGAAATATAAGAGCCTTTCATTACTATATTAGTGAGAGAGAAGATGTAAAAGTGTCCAATTTGGTAATAGAAAGAAAATAAGGATTGAATATCAAATTGAGATAATTTAATAATTTGTTAGGTAACAGGTAAGGTTAGGCTTCACCATCGATGCAAAGTCACAGCAACTTCGTTGCTAATATTTCCAAGTAATATCTCTATACTTTACTTTTTTATTTCTTTCAAAAAGCCCAAATATAAAGGCCCAAAGGGGAGCCCAACCTAACAAGAGCAAATGGATCGGAGGAGGACATAGGAAGTTAAAAGGGTCGTGCTGGGTTTTCGCGCTAAAATTTCAGGGCGGAGCTGAGTGGTCATAGGGTGCACTTCCTATCCCATTCGAAGCTTCTTCATCGTTCTTGGGCTCATACGTTGCCGAGAAAATTTTATAAAGTGAAGGATAAAAATCAAAACTTTGAGCACCGACGCACCATTTCAGAGTTCACCAGGTTGGGTTTTTATTTTTTCGCTCTAACTTCCTTTCTTTTCTATTTTTCCTTGCAATATTTGATTTGTTACCCCTATTTTCTGTCTTGTTGTCGTGGAAAGTTGAAATCTTTGAAGAGAATGAAATTAAAGCAAAAATCCCATTTACATCATGTGAATTCATTTAAGTCTTTAATGAGACCGTCGATGGCGTTTTCTGGGTTTCTTCTCTGTTTGGTAACCAAGAGGCATTGGTTTTTTTTAATTTAGTTGCTGTCCTTGTGGCAACAAGTTTTTGTTGCAAACTTCAGTATGAGTGTTCAAGTATTCAGGCACAAAATATCAAGTATAAAACATGTACAGAGTAAAAGCAGGATAAAACAATCTTGCAAAAGGAATAGGGGATTGAAGTTTGTCAATTTGTTTATTTGGTTGTTTGGTTTTCATTGAATATGAATTTGGAGTTTAGTTCTGTTCATATGTGTTGTTTTATTTTCAAATTGCTGAAGTTCAATGTGGGAAGGCAACTTTATGAGAAGTTCTTTTTATCATGTTTGTTCTACAACTGCGATTATTTCAATGATTATAGTTAGTTCAGTGATGCCTTTCTCTTGACATAGTGACACAAACTTTCCCAACCTCTGGAGGCTCAGGTAAATTTTTTATTTGTCCTTTCAGTCACAGAAGCAGAACCCTTTCCTTTTCTTTATCTAAATTAGTATAAATGAGATATTACTATTTAATTTGGGCAGCTGTAGAACTCTCATTGTGATAGTATAATAAAGATGGTGAAATATATTGGTTCTTTCAATGTTGCAGGAGAACGATAATGCTTGTAGCTCCACTGCCACTTCCAACAATTCTATAGATCCTATTACAACAACAAAATAGGAGCACAGTCTCATGGGGAAAAAGTATAAATTCCGAGCAGCCCCAAGTCATCAAGCTCTTCTAATAGACAGATTTAGTAATCTTCCAAACGAAATTGCTCATCATATATTTTCCTTTCTCACTTTTACAAACCTTACTAGAGTGGGCGCTGTGTCCAAGACATGCAGACGATTTTATCTATCAATGCCATCAGTGGTTTTTGGTGAAACTTACTTTGTGGAAAATAAGGAGCAGCAAATAGAGTTGTTGAATTCTTTGGATAGGTACTTATTTAGTCGTGGTGATAATAGGATGCAGCGCTTTTGCATTAATTGGAGTTCTTGTTGGGAGATTGCTGATGAGAATATTAAAATAATCACATGGATTCATAAAGCAGTAAGGTGCAATGTTGAAGTGCTTCACCTTGCTCTCTCTGTAAGAACTAACACGATGTTTGAGTTGCCATCTTGCATCTTTCTTTCTCAATCTCTTAGGTCTCTCTCTGTGCACTCTGAGATTATTTTTCAAGTGCCCTCCTTATCTTTTTCCTGTAATCTTCATTACTTGAAGTTGAAGGAAGTTAAAATAGAAGATGAGAGGTTTTTCAAATGGATTTCATTTTCCTGCAAATGCATTAAGGAATTACAACTTATTAGGATTAGAGGCATGCCAAATATCACCATTGAAAGTGCGTCGTTGGAATCATTTAAGGTTTGGAGTAGTAACCTCTTCCATCTCAACATCTTTGGTGAGAAACTTAAAGACATCCATATAGTTTGGAGAAAAGCTTCTTCGTCATCAAACACAAAATCTTTTAATATGTTTGCTCCAAATCTCAGAAGTTTGAAGTGGGAAGGCAACTTTATGAATAGTCAACATCTGGGAAAATTAACGAGTTTGGAAAAAGCAGGGATCTTTATGGAGTCTGAGCTAAATGACTGTGATAATGTATTTAAAGTTATTTGCAGTATGTGCAGGGGTATAGTTAGTCTAAACCAGTGGACTGTGAAGGTAAAGATACTTATCCCTTTAACAAATTCTCTTTCAGTTTAGGAGCCATTTTGCAAATCAATATTATTTAGATTATATATTTCCTAGAATCTTTTATAAGGATGTTAAACAGTGCATTTCTTGTTTGTCAAGCATTCGCACTCTCAGTAATGGTGATAATAATGGTGTTATGATAATTTTGACAATAAAAGGAATGAAGGTTAATATCTATCCTGCAAGTTTTGTTGGAATCCTGCTTGTTATCTATCAATAAGTTGAGAATTACATAATTTAGTTGCAAATGTAGTGCTAGACTTGACAAATAAAGTAAACTGAGATATATGAGGTATCCTGCAAGTTTTTCCCTTCTAGTGTACAGGTTCTTGTCCTCGTAGTATTTTATATTTTTCCTTGTAAAAATTGGATGCAGGCTTTGGTGAGGGGAGGTGCCATGCCAGCAGCACCATTGGTTGATATTTGTAACTTGAGTCTGCACATTAGGAACTTGAATGATGACCTAATTCCAGCAGTGGTATTTCTTCTTGGAGGAATGCCGAATTTGAATACTTTGCACATAAAGTGCACCTTCAGCTCAGGACTGGCTAATTATTTAGTAAGTGATCTCACTGTGTTGCCTCTGGATCTCCCACTTTTACACACTTATGCATTGACAGCCTTTGCAAATTGCCCCTCTCGATAATTTCTTACTATTTGTTTGGGAAATTTTCAAATGATTTGCTTGTTTCCTGTTGCCTTGTTGCCTTTTCAGTGTTCCGGGATCAAATGGAATATTGGAAACTACAAGGCCTTGCTTTCATTTATCAGCTCAAAGAGGCAACCCTGGAGCTTTCCAATGGGTTCAATGGAATTGAGTTTGCTAGGTATATCCTCGAGCATGCCCCAAATTTGGAGAAAATTGTCATATTTCATTTACAAAAGTACTCTGATGATGTATGGGAGTTAAAAGACAACATCATTTCTAATGCCACAGTTGTCTCTCAAGTCAGAAAGCCAGAGAAGAAAAGTTGGTCTGATTTTGTTTAGACTGTAACAACTTTGTCATGGGATTGTTTGATACATGTTGGCATTTCTATTTAGATTACATTGAACTCTTGTGTTTAGTTTACTGCTACTCTGTGGTGTTCAGCTGACTTCATTTTAGTTTATAGATTTGATTTTCAATATTTTCTGGAGCAGTAAAATTGAGGCCACCAACCTCACCATAAAGCTAATTTGCTCATGTGTCAAAATATTGTAATAATCAAGTGGATTTGGTATTGAGATTTCTGTTCGATCCGACTTCTTGTTTTGTGTTTTTCCATTTTTGGTTTGTGCTTAACATTTATATATAGAATTGATATTTTTTTTGGTCGGAATAAGAAATCTTTCATGAACTAGTATCAACTGACAATTCAAGAAAGAGTCAACATATTGAAAATTTCCAATTCCTTATATTTTTCAGATGGTCAAGTTTATTTCCCTTTTGTTTTAAATTTTTAGTAAATTAGTACAAACACCCGGACAACTATATATTATATACAAAAATACGGCTTGATTACCCTTAGATAGATTTCTTCTGTTGGGGAACAGAGGTCATTTCGAGCTTTAAAAGCGAGACACCATTGCTGAAGAAGAAACTGTTTTGGCCACCACCACCTGTAAGTGATTGTTTACTTAACACGCTATATTTGCAAAATCTCTCATTTCAAGTTCGATAGCTGTCAAATTGTACACATTCATTTTTGAAAATGAGTTGAGTTGATTGAGATAGTGTAAGATTTTAATTTGGGTATTTGGAATCTTGCTTGGCTGCAAAGTCTAATTGGGCATTCTAATTTCTTTTGTATGTATGTATATATATATAATTAGCTGGTTATAGTGAGAAGTGGTTGCAAAAGTTGGTTGCAGGGGAAGGATATCTCTTGTAGCTCAACCACTGCCTTCAACAGTCCCTATCAATCTTGGGGCGTAAGCGTAAGTTAGAGGCATCCGCAAGTTGTGAAGCTCAAGGCGCTACCACGCAAAATGCAATAGACAGATTTAGCAATCTTCCAGACGAAGTTGCTCACCGTATTCTTTCCTTCCTCACTTTCCAAGACCTCACTCAAGTGGGTGCCTTGTCGAAAAGATGCAGGCTATTTCATCTATCAGTTCCTTCTGTGTGTTTCGATTTAAGTTTCCTACCATATAGAACAACCAACCAGAAGCGAGTGAGATTAATGAGCTCTTTGGATAGGTACCTGTTTTATCGTGGTGATCATGGGATGCAAGTTTTCAGCATTAAATGGAGCTTCTTTACAGCCGAAGCTGAAAGCAAGTTTTCTGATGATCATTTTCGAGTGATCGGCTGGATTCTTAATGCAGTAAGGTGTAATGTTGAAGAGCTTGATCTTCATTTCTCTGATGGTGTGACCCTTGCGTTGCCATCCTGTGTCTTTCTTTCTCAGTCTTTGCGCTCTTTGTCAGTGCGATTGAATGGGGTTATTCTTGAAGCCCCGTCTGTATCCTCTTCAACTAATCTCCATTGCTTGAAACTGTGACAAGTTAAAATAGTAGATAAGAGGTTTTTCAAATGGATCTCAAGGTGCTGCAAATTCCTTAAGGAATTACAACTTATTTGGATTCGAGGAATACAAAACATCAGAGTTGAAAGTTCGTCTTTAGATTCCTTTATTGGTTGGGTTGATGATTATAACCCTTTTCATCTCAACATCTCTGGAAAGAAACTTGAAAGTATAGATACACACTGGAACGAGAACACCTATTCATCAGTAAACAGAATATCGTTGAAGATTTGAAGGCAGTTTGAGGAATAGTCCGAATCTGGGGAAATTCATGAGTATGGAAAAAGTTGAGATTTTCTTGAATCCTAGGGAAATTGAATTTGATAAGCTGGGCAAAAGTTCTTATCATAGACGAGAAAACCGTGAAGGTAAAATTGACACAATTCTCAAAACGTTTTGGTAAAAAGGATGTATTTTGCAATTTGAATTGTTTAAAGGGTGAACTATGTACTTCACATAATATTGCTATGCTGCAAGCCTGGAAGTTCACCATGTACATATTTTATTTGTCGGAAAGTGTTCGAAGTTTAAAAATCTGATAATTTAGTTAATATAATGATGTAGATTCTGAGATACTAGTTTTTTTATCATTATTATGGGGTGTATGTTCTTGTTGGCTTTCTATTTAAGAATACCTGTGTGTATTATTGAAAATTGTAAAAAATATGTGTATTAAATATGAAAAATACATACGTAAGTGTACAATATGTGTATTGTATGTTTAGTTTTTTAAAAATGTGTATTTTACCGAGTATTTAAGACGTCTATTGAAAACGAAAGTATTATTGAAAAATACATACATATGTAAATAATACGAGTATTAAATGGGAAAAAGGCTAAATTCTTTATATTGGTAATAACTCTAGAAAAGTAAAAAATCAAAATGGGACAACAAAAATTCGGATAATGCTCTAAACTACTTATCGTAAAAAAAAATAATCGCAGAAAAAAATTAGGAAAAAACAAAAGGGATGCTAGTATATGTTCACCCCTTTTTGTGTTTAGTACCTGTGATGGTAGGGTAAAGTTCCCCATTAATCCAAAGACCATGGTTGGTCAATAAATTAACTTTCTTTGTGTGTCGAGCGTGCCACCATTAGCAATTTTTCAATTCTAACAGACTTGAGAGTAAAAATAACTTGCGCCCCAAGCTATTGACTTTGAACAAACGATTGTGAATTTGGGTGAGGAATATCTCTCAAGTAAGTTCTTTTCTATGCCTTAGACTGGTAAGGACTTCATAATTTATCTAAATAAAACTGGGAAGTAAAGCAAAAATACAAGTGTTTGAAAATAAAAACAAGTTCAAGGAGAACTGTTTGAAATACAGTAAATGAAAGGAACTGCTAAGTCCGGAAATACATCAAAATATTGGACTTCGAATTCTGCCTGNNNNGAATTCTGAGCAGAATCTCAAGGATAGCTTTGAAGGTCCTTGGTACCTTTGTTGGCTTTGCTTCTATTGAAGGCTAGAATGATCAGTGAACTGATTGTTTCTTTTGTATTTGTTTTGTTGATTGTTGGGTGTCCTTTTTTCAGCTCTCATCCCTTGTATTTATAGGAATTTTGGTTCCTAAAAATATCTGGAAAATATCTCCTGGAAAATATCAGTTGTGATGAATATCTTTTCCTTGTAACTTGTGAAGAAAATATCCCCCTTTTGAAGGCACATGGATGTTTTGCAGAGATACTCAGCGTGCTTTCTCTAAGAATTCCTTTTGAATACCTTCTGGCCATTCTTGTAACTTGTGCTTCAAAATATCTTAATTGATGAGACCACACGGGTCTGTAGTTCCTGAGACTTAAATGGCTATAGGAGATAACTTTTGCTTTTACCTTTCTATTGATATGGTCTTGAGTTTAATGAAGGTCAGACCTCAAGTTTCAAAATATGTAATCTGGGAACTTTGGGAAAGCTATTTTGGCTTATTTTATCTCTTGGAATGATATGGGCTTCTTTTCCAATTTTTGGCAAGTGGAGCCCGAATGGCCAGTTGGGCTGATGAGTAAAAAAATAAGTCCAAATGTATTTTGGCTAGAATGGAGAGTTTGGCCAAAAAGTGCAAATTTTGGTACAAACAGTATACATTAAAAGCGTATAGCCGTGCGGCTATACTATTTGCATATATTATAGTTACAACGTATAGCCGGGCGGCTATACTATTTATTACAAAAAAGAAAGAAAAAAAAGGACCCGCTCAGCGCCTAGGCGGCTAGGCGGCCATTTTTATTTTTTAAATTACGAGTACAGCCGGCTGGCTATACGATTTGTATATATATTATAGTTACACAGTATAGCCGTGCGGCTATACTATTTATTACAAAAAGAAAGGATAAAAAAAGGACCCGCCTAGTGCCTAGGCGGCTAGGCGGCCCTTTTTATTTTTTAAATTACGAGTACAGCCGCCTGGCTATACGATTAATTTTTTTTTATAAAAAAAACCCCAGTATAGCCGACCGGCTATACGATTTGTATATATTATAGTTACAAAAAAGAAAGGATTAAAAAAGGACTCGCCTAGGCGGCTTAGGCGGCCCTTTTTATTTTTTAAATTACGATTACAGCCGCGCGGCCATACTATTAATTTTGAAAAATAAAAAACCCAGTATAGCCGATCGGCTACACTCTTTGAATATTGCGAAGAGCCGTGCGGCTTTTGTTTTAAAAAAAATTAAAAATCCCTAGTATAGTCGCGCGGCGATACTATTTATGTTATACTAGTTATTGTAACAGCTCCTCCTAAACTTTGGGTTGATGAGTTATAACTCTTAACTAACTATTACTGTTATCTTGCAGTTTGGAAAAAAAAAATGTAAACACAGGTTCTTTTCCTCTTTCATGAAAAACATGCTGGCGTGTTTCAAGAAAGGTTCCATGAAAAACATATATTTTCTTTCAAGTCAAGTGGCTTTGGTATAGAATAATGAAGCTGCAAAAGCTTGCTTTCCTTCATCGGCTTGAAAGTTACAAAGTCTGTCTTTAAATGTTGTCGATGCTTTTGCAGTTTACTTTAGAGGTGCGGCTTCAATCTTTGTGGAGGGGATGGCAGTTTTTGGAGGTTTTTGCAGAGGTTAGGGAGACGGCATGAGTCCTTAGGTCGCGTGCGTGGTCTGCTTTTATTATTATGATTGTTATTATTCTTTGTTTCTTTTGAGTGTTGCTGGTTTTGTTTTGTTCTTGTTTTCTTGGTGAAAATGGGTTTGGGCTTCTTGGCGGCAGTTCGTAATTTATTGGATGGTCGAGACATATTTGGTGTGTTGTAAATGGGGTCTGGGTTGGTTAATTTGGGTCCCTATATTGGCCCGAAAGTGAAGCTTCTTAATTTATGGGCCAAGCTAGGTCAGGGCCATTATATAAAGAAACTTAAGCGCATCAACAATAATACCCACACTTAAAGACCAATTTTTAACTATTGAATATTGCTCTGCATAGAAAAGAACCAATTTCTGCCGAAGGAAAATTGCGGCCACCACCTGTAAGTGATTTGTTTGCAGAAAATACGATTTTTCAAAAGCTCTGATTTCAAGTTAGATTGATGTCTAATTGTACAATTTTCTTTTCTAAAAACTTGTCATTGTTTGTTGTTGATTTCTCTTAGGGTTTTCAAAAATTAGTTAATTATTTGTGGTAGTGCCTGGAAAGTGCTTGATGATATGCCTATGTGAGAGTTTAATTGGTTATTTCTCCTGTGTGCATGTAGTCAGCTAATTGGTTATGATAAGTTGTTGCAAAATTGTTAGTTGCAGAAGGATACATCTCTTGTAGCTCCGACACTGCCTTCAACAGACTCTATTTATCATGGGAAAGTTATCGGCATCCACAAGTTGTCAAGCAACTTCTTCTGAAAGTATAACAGACAAATTTAGTGATCTTCCAGATGAAGTTGCTCATCTTATCCTTTCCTTCCTCCCTTTCAAAGACCTCACTCGATTGAGTGCCGTCTTGAAAAGATGCAGACAATTATATCCATCAGTTCCGGGGTTGAATTTTATTTTCTATGAGGAGGTAAAACCAAAACCCAACCAGGATATAGAGATGCTGATGAGTTCTTTGGATAGATACTTCTTCTCTCGTGGTGATCATAGGATACAGCACTTCGGCATGAATTGGAATTTATATCCAAACAAAACAGTACAGGAGCTTTCTAATTATCATTTTCGATTAAATACGTGGATTAGGAATGCAGTAAGGTGTCATGTTGAAGAGCTTGATCTTCTTATCTACCCGGCCTATGGATTTTCGTTGCCATCTTGCGTCTTCCTTTCTCCATATTTGCGCTCTTTGTCAGTGAATTTGGCTGGGCAGATTTTGGAAGTGCCTTCCCTACCTTTTTCATCTAATATCCATGACTTGAAACTGTTTGGTGTTAACTTAGATGAGAGGTTTTTTCAATGGATCTCATGTTCTTGCAAATGCATCAAGAAGTTAGATCTGCACATTATGACAGACACACAGAATATCACCATCGAAAGTTCGTCTTTAGAACACCTTCATGTTTTGATTTTTCGTGACCTGCATCTTAATATCTCTTGTGAGAAGCTTGAAACTATAGAAATAAATCTAGGGCCCGAACGCCATCGAGCAACAAGCAGCAATTCACTGAAGATTTTTGCTCCCAATCTTAAAAACTTGCAATGTATAGGCAGTCCGTGGGGTAGCCAAAATCTGGGAAAACTAATGAGTTTGGAAAAAGTTGAGCTTTTTTTAAAGCCTCGGCCAAATGAAATTGACAATGTATTTGAAGCTCTTTGTAGTATATGCTGGGCAAGAGTTCTACATATAAGCAAGGACACCATTAAGGTAAAACTCTACCCTTGAGACTCTTGGTAAAAACAAGATATATTTTTTGAATCATTTGAAAGAAGAAAAAAATCGTAGGTTCTTTTCCTCTCTCTGTCTAAGATTTTTTCTTGACAAACATGCAGGCCCTTTTCAAGGAAGGTTCCATGGCAGCACCAATATTAGATAATATTTGTAACTTGAGGATACATTGTACGACCTTGGAAGATGACCTTGTTCCGGCAGTTGTCTCTCTTCTTAGAGGAATGCCTAATTTGAATAGTTTGTCCATAAGGACTGTGAAAGGGCCTTGGAATCCCGAACCAGTAAGTGAAGTATATGTTGCCTTTTTGTATGTTTTCAGTCAAGTGGCTTTGGTACGGAATATTGGAAACTGCAAAACCTTGCTTTCCTTCATCAGCTTCAAGAAGTAACCGTACAGTATTCCGGCCACGGGTCTAATGAAATCGAGTTTTCAACGTACAGTACGGAATATTGGAAACTGCAAAATTTGAAGAAAATTGCCATTTTTCTTGGCAGCGAAGATGAGCAATCAGAAGCTGCAGCAGGGATGGTGAGTAGGAACAAGATGATTTCTACTGCCACAATTATCATTCGGAGGAGGGAATAATCTTTGATATTTTTACAAGACTTTATGTGTACCTTGAAAGGATATTTCTGTATATTTATGAGATAATATCTCCTTGCAATTTACTTCAGTCTCAAATCTAATTTGTCTTGCAAGGAACAAAAATGAATAATTTGAGAAACGAAAATTTATAGAATACAAACATTATTTTAAGTAACGAAAAAAAGCTTTCACCTAAATTATTTAGAGATATTTAGTTATATACCTCATTCTTAGCATTAGTGATATAAATAAATTCTACACCATTTAATTTTTATAAACAAACCCAAAAAAATAATAATAAATGACATATGCCCCTATTGAATTTAATTTTGATTATTAAATTACTTTGATGCCCTATTGAGTGTTTTGGGTTTTTTTTTGTTTTTTTGTTTTTTTGTTTTTTTTTTTTTTTGAGGTTTTGAGATTTGGCTTGTTTTAAGAAATTGATGGTAGTTTTGTAATTTATAGGAAAGTCGAAGCCTATTTGTTATGTTCTAAATGGTCTTGGGCTTTGACTTTGGGCCATATTAGGTATAATAGTGAATCTCCCAATTATTTATTTACTTCCTTAAAGCTGTAAACTTTCCTGATAAAAAGGTTGGGCTTGGATCTTCTCTTTGAATTGTAGATGGAAGCCCAACCTAACATCCACTCCCTCCCCCGTACTGGTATAACTGATATAAAACCCCCAAATGAAAAAAATTAGGGCTCCGTCTGCCAATCCCAATCCATCAAAGTCGAGAATCTGGAGGAACTATGTTGGCTCGAAAATGCTCCTACAAGCTACAGCAACAGTAAGCTCCAATTCTGTTGGGTATCAGACTGGTACGTACTCAGCATACTCGCGACTACTTTTCTTCATTTTGGTTCAGTATCTAAAAATCACAAGTTATTGAATGTATTAGTGTTCAATTGCCCTTGAATTGTAGTATAAATTAAAAACCCAACTTCTCTTGCAAAACCCAAAAGCCACAAGTTAGTTTAGCTTCATGGAACACAAGAATAAGTTAAGGGCTACTGCAAGTTGTGAAGGTGGAAGAGTTCATACTGAGAGCTTGGTGAACAGATTCAGTAATCTTCCACTGGAAGTTGCCCATCACATTCTTTCGTTCCTTGATATAGAAGAGCTCACTCGTTTCAGTTGTGGGTCCAAAGGATGCAGGGAGCTTTCTCTGTCATCTCCCTCGTTGAATTTTTGTTTTTCATCGGTGGATACGTCCACATGTGAGCTTAGGGTGAAGTTGTTGAACACATTGGATAGGTTCTTGTTTCATCGTCGGGATAATAAGATACAGTCGTTTTATCTTTTTTGGGATGGTCACTACATAGAGGAGGGCAATTACGAACCATGCTACTTATGTAGTAATGAGAATTTTCGTATCATCACATGGATCCACAATGCAGTGAGGTGTAATGTTGAAGTGCTTTGTCTTGACATCTTGTTATGTGATTTTGAGGATGAAGGGTTAGCATTTCCATGTTGCGTCTTTCTTTCCACATCGTTGAGGTCTCTAAATGTGGTGCAAATGAAGGGCATTATTATTAAAACGCCCCCCTTTGCCTTTTCCTCTAATCTCAGTTGCTTGGAGTTGGGAGAGCTTGATATAGAAGATGAGGCGTTTTTCAAATGGATCTCATGTTCCTGCAAATGCATCAAGCAATTAACAGTTGCCGGAGTTCGAAATATAAAGAGTATCGCCATTGAAAGCCCGTCTTTGGAAAGATTTAATTTTTATGATCCCTATGGGTCTCAAATCTGCCATCTTAAAATCTCAGGTGAGAAACTTGAAAGCATAAGGATCGACTGGGGATTTTTTTTATCCGGTGACCACTCATTAAATATTTTTGCTCCAAATCTAATTTTTTTGCGTTGGGTTGGGAATGTCATGAATCACCCAAACCTTGGAGAATTAGAATGCTTGGAAGAAGCATATATTTTTCTGGATCCTAAAGTAGATGAATTTGAAAACGTATTTGAGGCTCTTTGCAGCGTACGCAGGGTTGGAGTTCTTGGTATAAATGAAGCAACCGTTAAGGTAAAGAGAATCAGTTCCCTCTATCCCTCTAGACTCAATTTCTATTTTGTTGCAAAAACTAGAGCAATTTGAACTAATTTGTAACTCTTTCCTTGTTTCGGGATAGTAGGAGTAGCAAATATTTGTTTCTTACATTTCAGAATTGTTTGGAACTTTGCATGATGGCATTGCTTTGAATAAAAGATAATATTTATGCCTTAAAGGTTTTGTTAAAAAGAATGACAAGTAATTTGAGAAACATGATATAGGTTTTACCATTATAACATTGCAGGCTCTGTACAGGGAAGGATCCATTCCAGCTCAATTCGATGATATTTGGTGTTTGACTCTGAATACTCAGAGCATTAGTGACGATCTCGTCCCATCAATGGTCTCTCTTTTAAGAGGAATGCCCAATTTGTGTACTTTACACATAAAGAATGATTCACTTATTTACGCTCGTAAATCTGATGACGTAAGTCAAAGTCTCTCTCTCTCTGTCTCTCCCTCTCTCTCTCTCTATATATATGTATATGTATGAGTGTATATATTATATACATCGTTTCAAGAATCAGGAGCATAATTATCATGCTATTAAAGTAATGTAGATTTCCTTTCTGTATGCTTTGTTTTGGTTTTTGGAAATTTTCAATTGAGTTGCTTGTTTTCTTCTTGCTTTTCCAGGTCCAGGTCCAGGTCCAGGCATCTGGGTTTGATATGGAATACTGGAAGCTGCAAAATCTGGATTTTATTTATCAGTTGGAGGAGGTTACCATAAAGCTTACCGAAGGGTCCAATGGAATTGAGTTTGCAAGGTACATACTCGAGCATGCCGAGGCCCTGGAGGAAATGAACATAATTTATTCACCCAAGCAATCTGATGTTATAAAGAAGCTAAACGAGAGTAAGATAATTTCCGATGCCACACTTACCTTCCAGGAAAAGTAAGATGAATCCATTTTGATAGATCCATTTTGGGAATTTAGAATATATGTTCAATGGCTGTTGTCAATGTAGTGATATCGCTATGTTGATACTGTTTGTTCCTTATGTTCAATGACTCATTAAGCTGAGAAGAGTATGGGGCCTCTTGTTTTAAGATGTGACATGAGTAATGGGGGATGATTGTATTTTTTTTCTTGTGAAGGTCTGTGCTCCAGAATTTCTTGCTCAAACAATATAGTTTTTCAACTTTGCTCTTTATGTAAATCAAAATTACGAAAAAGCTATATTCAAATTTTTTACTTTCTCTTTCTCAGTAATCATTTTTTACCTGTATTTAGTCAATTTACAAATGGGTATAATATAATAGAGTTTTTCATGAATTATTTACACTAACACTCCTTGAGGTTTTTGGCTTCTTCACAAAACTCATTGAGCTTTTAGAAATAATAAGAACACCCCCAGGCGTTTTAAGTTGTTTTTACAAAATTCATTTTCATTTATTTTTCATTCAAAGATTGATGATTTTATACCAAAAAAAAAATCACCAAATGACAAAGTTGGCCTTTGAGATTAGATTGCATATACTTCATTGAGAATAATTTTTTTCATTTGCATAAGTTTTTTTTCAATGAAATCATCAATTTTTAGACAAACAATCAACGAAAAGGGGTTTTGTGAAAACAAACTGAAACCTTAAGTGGTATTCGTGTAATTTTTGAGACCTGAAGGGGTTTTATAAAAACACAAGAAACCTCATAAATATTAATGTAAATAACTCTTTTTCATATTTTAGTTTTTCATTTTATTCATCATTATCAAGAGGAATTGCATTTATTATTTAGATACAAATTACCACTATGGCCAATAAAATACAAGAAGAGGGTATTCCCTCACCACAAACTCATAATGAGTTGCTACAACCTATTCTACGACTCCAGGGGAGCTGGCGCACTTTATTCCACATTTGGAATTCAAACTTTTGGTATCCCATAATTATTGTCTACAAATATTCTTCACTTTCGTACTTTTTTCAAATAGATTTCTTGAGGAAATTTTTGAACCACTCCGCTGAGCGCTTTAGATACCTTTTTAGATTATCACTGTAATCCACATAGATGATACCAAAACGAACCGTGTATCCATCACTCCATTCAAAGTTGTCTAGCAATGACCATGCGAAATATCCTTTCACCTTTGCACCATCTCTGCACCAAAAAAATGGGAAGAATTCAATGTATTGATGTCAATGTAGTGTTTAAATAGCCAAAATCTAAGATGACTGTACGTTAGATTGCCTTAGTTAATTTCTTAAATAAGCACTTACCTCATGGCTGCGTGAAGGTAACAAAGGTGATGGTAGTAATAGTCAATTCTATCGGTATCATTAAGGGCTTGCTCAAGTGGTAATTTGGGATCATTGAACTCATCAACGCCTACAATATAATGCATTACCATATGCATTTAGTTTTAAATTTAGACGTTATAACACTTAACATTATTGCATACCATTATATATGTGAAACATTAATTATAAAATTAATGATAATTTAAAACTATTAATTACCGTTCTCAGTAATGTAAATTATTGGATCATCATACTTTTTTTTCGTGTAGAGTACAAGATCGTAAAGTCCTTTTGGATAAACATATAACCAATCTGAAGCGGCCTGCAATCCAATTTAAAGATAATTGAGATTTTAGGATTAATTTGGATGTGGAGAACAATGTTAATCCTCCAAATGCTAATAGTATAAGTTGAAAATTTAATTAGCAAAAAAAAAAAGCTAATAATTTGAAGTGAACCTGTGGACCAATAGGGACCCCATTAAGCTCAGCTGCCAAAAAATATATGTATGTGAATATTAGAATATAACTTTTCTAATAAGTGGATTCATTGCTCAAAGTAAAGTTTGCACTTTGAACTCACTTGCTTCATTAACTTGAGGATCTGTTAAGTAGCTTTTATGTGCATAAGAAACGCGAGGTTTATGACTTGCATATCTAGCAGAATAGTAATTTATTCCAATAAAATCATATGACCCTTCTAGTAACTTGGATTCTTCAATCGTGAATTTTGGTAATCGTTTTCCAACAATTGACCTCATGCTCTGCGGATAGTCACCGTATGTCACTGGGTCCATAAACCTACAAAATACATAAATTCATAAATAAAACATGTAATTGAGTATGTAGATAAATAAAATACCAATATACTTGCCATCCGAACATAAAATCCAAAGCTCGATGTGCAGCCCATTTATCTTTTCTTAAATTTGAAGCGGGCTTAAACCAATGCGACACCAATGTTATTCCTATCGAGCCATTTTGATATGCCTACGCAAGAAAATTCAAGAATTTTAGTTCATTTAGAGTGAGGAGAATTTAATATACAAATTATTTATGTCTTCTATTAGTGACTTAGATAGGATTCTTAGTTAGGACTGCAAATAAGATAAAAATAGTAATTAATTAGACCTGATATTCGTCTTTATACAATTTTACAGTGGCTGCATGTGCAAGGAGTTGGTGGTGTGTCACCAAATATGGTTCAGTGCCTGAATCTCCACCGGTGCAGTTTAAGTTTTGCCAAGCAGAGCATCGTCCCGGTGCGTGGACCCCGATTGCATAGCCATGGTTACTAACGGTATATGGCTCATTCAACGTGACCCAGTGTTTTACTCGATCGCCAAAGTTCTCAAAACAAAGTTTTGCAAATGCTCTAAAATGATCACTGTATATAGTATGCACAATTCAAGATGTAGATGTTACTGTAATATGTATTTCATTAAATGATCATTACCATGTTCTGAGGATAGAATTTGTTCACTTACACAATTTTAGGGCTTAAAAAACCACCATATTCATCAACCAAAGCTTGGGGAAGATCCCAATGATAGATTGTCACAAATGGTGTTAGACCTGTATATATATATTTATGTATATGAGTATAACAAAAGTAAATCTTTGATTAAATGATAAGAGTTTTAAGTATCGATCATGTAAAATGAGATGACTACTCACCGCTACTTATGAGTTCATTGATGAAACTATTGTAATAGTTGATCCCAGCCATATTCACACCCCCACTTAGCGTTCCATCTAATAATTAAAATAAAATACAACAAATAGGAAAATAACTCGATCTACAAACATAAATTAAAATAAACAAAAAATTTAAGCTATATATTCTTTTAAGCATTTAATTGGGAACAAAATGCTGAGAGTTATTATACAAAAGACAACCGAGAGTTATTACACAACTCAAAACATAAAGGGTGCAAGTCAGTTGTAAGAAAAAACAAAAACAAAAAAAAATTGTTATGTACAATATTGAGAGTAAATCAACTTACTTGGCAGCACTCTTGACCATGCTATAGACATTCTATAAGCATCCACCGATATATTTTTCATTATCTCCACATCACCCTATAATGACACACACACACACACACACATATATATATATATATATATATATAAATAATTATAAGAACTAAGCTACAAATTAAGGATATCTCGTCTTCAAATGTCATGTGTTTGGCTAGAATCCAAAATTTAGTATGTTGTGCCCTGCAACTTCAAGTAAAGAAGGTCCAGAGAATAAAATTCTAAGTTTTAGAACCTTGTATTGGTGATATTGATCAACAGCGATATCTCCATTACTGCGATCCTTGATTCTTTCTACAAATATACGTAAAAAATTTAAATTATTTAGAGCATAAAGATCCCGAAAATCATATCATTCACACTATTAGAATTGAATCTCCTAAATATTTAAATCCAGGTTAAGTTGAGTAGAGTTAAAAAGATAAATAAATAATTTTGAAGTTTTTTATTTTTTGGGTTGAAATGGAGGATTAACCCTTAAACACAAAAAGATTAAAGGAAGATTCACTATTATACCCAATATAGGAGTCCAAATTTTTTATAAAAAAACTTATATGAAATGGACTTTAGAAACACACCCAAAGCCCATTTACAACATAACAAAAAGACTTTTAACTTCTTTTAAATTACAAAACTGCCATTGATTTCTTAAAATAAACCCAACCCCAAAACCTCATTAAAAAAACCCAAAACACTCAATAGGGCATCAAAGTAATTTAATAATCAAAATTCAATTCAATAGGGCCAGCTATCATTTTTTGGGTTTTTTTTTGGGTGTGTTTATAGAAATTAAATAGTGTAGGGTTTATTTATAGTTTTAGTGCTAAGAATGGGTATATGACTAAATATCTCAAAATTAAATGACAAAGACAATAGGAGTTCTAGAAACTCTGAACAAATCATCATCAAAGGTAGCTTCAACCCAGCTAGGAATCTCATTAAGCACAAAGAACCCCAAATCAAAATTATAGCTCCCGTCTGGGTTGTGGTTAAGGCTTAAAGGTGCCACCCATAGTTGGGGCCCATCCAGGACCACCTCATGGTTCAGACAAAAAAA